CATTTACCTGAAAATTCCATGATTTTATTCTTTTATTGCTGAGTAATATTCCATTGTATATATATGCCACATTTTTCTAATGCATTCATCTTCTGAAGGGCATTTACATTGATTCCACAGTTTAGCTATTGTGAATTGTGCTGCTATAAACACTGATGTGGCTGTGTCCCTGTAGTACGCTGTTTTTAAGTTCTTTGAGTATAGACCAAGGAGAGGGATAGCTGAGTCAAATGATGGTTCCATTCCAAGTTTTCCAAGGAATCTCCATACTCCTTTCCATATTGGCTGCACCAATTTGCAGCCCCACCAGCAATGTATGACTGTACCTTTTTCCCCACATCCTCGACAACACTTATTGTTTTGTCTTCATAATAGCTGCCATTCTGACTGGAGTGAGATGGTATCTTAGAATAGTTTTGATTTGCATTTCTCTAATTGCTAGAGATGATGAACATTTTTTCATATATTTATTGATTAAATACCCTCTTCTGAGAAGTGTCTGTTCATGTTATTGGCCCATTTATTGATTGGGTTATTTGTTTTTTGGTGTTTAGCTTTTGAGTTCTTTATATACCCTAGAGATTAGTGATCTGATATGTGAAGGGTAAAAATTTGCTCCCAAGATGTAGGCTCTCTATTCACCTCACAGATTGTTTCTTTTGCTGAGAAGAAACTTTTTTAGTTTGAGTCCATCTCATTTATTGATTCTTGGTTTTAATTCTTCGGTGAGCAAAACAAGCTTCCTCAATATTCTATATTATTAAGAAAAACACTCAAGCTGGCACCCACAAATCATCATGAGCTAGACATTTCTAATTCATACTACTAAATCTTCATATACTATTCATACTAAACTATTTATACTTATTATTTCTACTTATCACATGTAAGTCTTTTTCATTATAGTACTTTGTGTCTGATTTACTTAACTCCTAAATCCCAGAACAAAACTTAAACAGTTCTGTTTTAGAGTTATGAATGCAACACGTAATTCTAATAAATAAAATTAGGGCCAAGCACAGTAATGTACACCTGTAGTCCCAGCTACTTGGGAGGCTGAAGCAGGAGGATCACTTCAGCTCAGGAGTTCAAGACCAGCCTTGGCAAAATAGTGAGATACCAACTTAAAAAAAAAACAAAACACAAACAAACAAAAAAGACTAAGCACAGCTAATACATAAAAGAGTAGAATACATTTTTATTATACAACATTTTATTTTTTTAAAAAAAATTTCTTTTCATGGAATACATTTTCTTATTACCAATTCCCACAGTGGGAAAGTAATTTATTAGTTTTATATTTGTGGACAGATTATTTTAGGACAAGTAAAACACATTGGAGAATTACATCTGTTTAGAACTTGCAATATTCTGATATGTCTACAAGGAAGACTTCTTCTCTAACTTGAGCATCTCTATATTCAGAAGCTTTCCAATCTTTCTTTCCTAGGATACAGAAATCGGTAATTTGAGATTTTAGCATCTCCTATAGTTTCCCTAGGACATAAAACCATCAGTAGCTGGTATCAACTGGACAGACAGAGAAGTTTCCAAAAGTAAACACCATCTAATTTTTTGCAAAGTCATGAATTAACAATCTTTCCCTTTGTCCATTATTTCCAAGACAAATGCAGAAATGATCATATACTGATAATATTAAAGCTAAATTCTCTTTAAGAGATTGACAAAAGCAAAAGCTTATATGTAAAGTTTTAGTCATACTGTGAATCTCATGAACTTGAAGACAACCCCATTAACTCACTAGACTGCAGAACTGGGTCTCATAATTTCTTGAACACATTTCCTCTCAAATCTCTTCCTCAACAATTAAATTCTAAAATAACCATGTGATTAGAAGAAGGTTTGCCCACCAATGAACTTTCTGTTATTTCCTCCTTATTGTGAGCTGAATGACAGAGCAGAGGCACAGGCATACAATCAATTCTCAAGTCAAAACGGTCAAAGCTTCCACAGCATGGCAACAGCTTTGCAGATGCCCACGTCATGATAGTTGAAATAACAAAGCCCAGCAAAGGTTAAAGCTGAGAGTGCCAAAAGGCCTGCCTTGGCAGCTTTCTGTGATGCATCCCCATGAACATAATCAGTGACAACTTGTCCAAGGCCCCTACAGGGGGGAAAAAAAAATCACACATGAGTGAAGTTGGAAGGCTAATAGATAATGTATCTAAAAACAACAGCAACAGAAAAAACCCAGTAGTTTAAAAATGCAATTTCTCTCTGTCCAGCCAGTAACTGTTTGCTTCTTTAGGGAATAGGTGGAATTATTTCCATATTTTTGTTGAGACAATAAACCAAACTCATGGTAATAAAAGTCATAAACTAAAATGAAGAAATATCAAGATTTTCCTAATATGTCATAAAGATATATTCTTACTCTTTGGAAATCAATTTTCCAGAGTCATTTATATCAGAAACAATAACTGAATGCTCCCCTGTTTACAAAGTATAGTTATAGTTTAACTATAGAGCTTTTCATTAATTTGAAAAATATTCAAATTGAAATTTGAATAGGAGATACTATGTGCCAGTACACAAAATGAAAATAATCATTCCTTGCCTTTATGGGATAAATTTTCTAACAAAGAAGAAAGAAAAAAATTAAATATATGTGTTAGTATGAAGAAATATATTAGACAATATATATTGTCTACCTCAGTGGTAGAGCACTTGCCTTGCTTGTCTGAGATTCTAAGTTCAATCCCTAGCTGCAATAATATTAACTGAAGAAATATATTAGAAAGAATGACTTAAAGAACAGTCCAAATAAACGTGATGACTGGTATCTCTGAAGGACATATAGGGGGAGCATACAAAGAACAGTATGGGGGACACAAGGAACAGTATAGCTGGAGCACATCAGGAAGATTAGAGGAAATGAGGAAAGATCAAAGGAAGGCAGGGGTAGATTGCTTAGGGCTTTGAAGTCACAGAAATTTAAATTTTATTTTAAATAGGAAACCAGGAGCATATTTTAAGCAGGAAGGATCCTAAGTAAGGAGTGATCTAATTTTACTATTTTTATAGATAATAATTTTATTGATATATAATTTACATACCATAAACTTCACCTTTTTATCTATGCAATTCAGTGATTTTTATTATAATCAGAGTTGTGAACTATCATCACTATTTAATTCCAGAATATTTTTGTCATCCCCAAATAGAAACTTTCTACCATCAGCCATTACCCAACAACTAATTTGCTTCTGTCTCTGGATTTGCCTATTCCTTATAAATGTTTCATATAAATGAAATCATGCAATATGTGGCCTTTGAGTCAAACTTTTTTTTATTTAGCATTTTTTCAATATTTACCCACATTGCAGCATGTATCAGCACCTCATTCCTCTGTATAGCTGAATAATATTCCATTGTATGAGTATGCCATATTTTATTCAGGTATTTATCAGTTGATGAACATTAGGATTATTTACACTTTTTAGCTATTATAATGTACTATAAACATTCTTACATAAGTTTTCAGGTGGAAACATTTTCAATTCTCTTGGGTATACACTTAAAAGTAGAATTACTGAGTAACATGGTTACTAACTTTCACTGGAATTGCTAAGGTATATCTAAATGTATAACATTTTTACATCCCTAGCAGAAATATATGAGAGTATCAACTTCTCTACATCTTTAGAAACACTTGTAATTGTCCATTTTCTTTTCCACAGCCATCCTGAGTAGGTGTTTGGTAGTTTTATCATTGTGGGGTTTTTTAATCTGCATTTCTGTAATGACAAATAATATTGTCCAATTTTTCATGTGTTTATTGACCATTTATATCCTCTTTGGAAAAATTTGATTTTACTTTAAAAAGGTCACTTTGGCTATTGTGTGCGAATGGAAAGCAGGAAGAGATAAAAACAAAAGCAGAAAGTAACTGTAGTGACTTAAGCAAGACTGTGGGTTTAAAGAGACTCTGACCAAGGAGGTGATGTTAAGTCACAATTCAGGCTACGTTTTGAAGAGAGAACTAATGGAAACTAAAGGGTAAGACAAAAAGAAATATCTAGAATGAATTCTAGGATTTTTAGATTGAGCAACTAGATTTAATAGAGGAGGAGGTTTTAAGGGGAAATCAAGAGAAATCTGGAAGAGAAAAAGAATGATTTGGGCAATATTAAATTGGGCATGACACTCAGACATCCAAATAGACAGCGGGATAAACAAGTATGCAGCTCAGGAAACAAGGTCAAAGCTGAGTTTGTCTAGGTAAACTATATAGAACATCAAGAAAGTCAAGATTAGCCAGGCATGGTCAAGGCTGAGGCAGGAAGACTGTGTGTACAGAACCAGCTTCAGTAACTCAGCAAGGCCCTAAGACCCTCTCTCAAAATAAAATATAAAAAGAGCTGGGAATATGGCTCAGTGGTCAAGTGCCCCTGGGTTCAATCTGCAGTACCACCCCCCCACACACACACATCAAAAAAAGCTCCACAGGAGCCTGAAGCAGGAGGATCATGAGTCAAAGGCCAGCCCGGGCAACTTAGCAAGACCCTGTCTCAAATTTTTTTAAAAAATAATTTTTTAAAGGGCTCAGTGATAGGCACTTACTTAGCAAGCACAAGGCTAGGGGTTCAATCTCCAATTGCCAGAACCCCCTCCCCCACAAAAAAAGTCAAGAAAGTCAAGATTGAGCTCTGGTGACTTTATCATTCAGAGATCAGAAAAGAGGAGAAAGAGCTGAGAGAAACATCTACAAAGAATCCAGAAAGAGAAAAGTTGACTTAAGGAGAGAACAGTCAAATGAGTTTAATGCTGCTGAAAGTTCAAGTGGAGGACAGAGAATAGACAACAGGATTTGGAAAGATCAAGGTCTTTGGTAAGAATGACTTAAGTGAACTGTTGAGAAAAAAGCCTAATACAGGTTAAAGAAATTGGATGCTGGGGCTGGGATTTGGCTCAGCGGTAGAGTGTTTGCCTAGCACGTTCGAGGCCCTGGGTTCAATTCTCAGCACCACGTAGAAACAAACAAATAAATAAAATAAAATAAAAAAAAGAAAGAAATTAGATGCTGAGGAACTGGAGCATAGACAACTCTTTCAAGTAATTTTTTCTGTGAAAAGGATAAGAGAATTAGTAAATGGAAGGAAATGAAGTCAAGAAATCAACTGAGATGAAAATGTATTTCTTTAGGATTATTCTCTTTTTCTAAGTTTCTATTAATTTAGATAGACTTCCTTTCCAGGAAACATACTTATTTCTTAACTCAGTCTTAGAAAGCCTGGTAAGTAAAACCCCCCTTTAACATTAGTTAGAAATTTAGTCTGACATGTCACTTAACCTCCCTGGGATTTAGTTTCCACATTGGTAGAATCACAGGGTTGGTTAAGGTATTCCAAGACTTTCTAGTTCTAACAATCTTAAAACACCTTCCCTCTCCCACCAATTATATTACATTGTCCTTGTAAAACAACAACTCAGTCAGGTGTGATGGTACCTCACACCTGTAATTCCAGCTATTTGGGAGGCTGATGAGAAGAGACTGAAAGTTCCAGGCCAGTCTAGGCAACTTAGGAAGACTCTATCTCAAAATAAAATTAAAAGGGCTGCGGGTATATCTCAATGGCAGAGTGCTTGCCTAGCATGTGCATGGTTCTGAATTCTATCTGCAATATCTCAAAAAAAAAAAAAAAAAAAAGAAAAGAAAAAGAAACAACTCAGGAAATTCATCCTGTTAACTCCTTTATTCGTTTCATTAACTTAGCAAGTCTTAAAAGTTATACAAAAGTAAATAGAAAATGGATATGCACTCATTCAACAAGTATTTACAATATGCAATGTGTCAGCTACTATTTTAAGTACAAAAGATACAAGAGCAAATAAAAATAATTTTTAAAATGCATTTTTTTAAGGCAAGAGTAAACTATAGTATCTAGGGATGCACATTTGAGGGATAAAACTATGACAAAATGCAAGGAAGTGATTACTATAATAATCAGGATAATGATTCCAGAGGGAGAAGAAATACTAAGCAGTTATATCTGAGATGAAATACAACGCAGAGGCTACTTGAATAGCTAGCAAAGTTCTATTTTTGATCTGGGTGCTATTACCCTTATAATTCATTAAACTATAGATCTAATTTTTGTGATTTTTCTGAATCTGTACTTTCATTATGGTGTTAAGGGTGGGAAATGACAAATATACAAATTAATAAACGGCTGATATCGTATATTAAAAGGTTATAAGTACTATTGATAAAAATAAAACAGAAAGATAAGGAATATCAGAAAAGATAAGAAACATTACACTTCTGAGGAATTAGTTTGGGAAGGATTTGTTGAAAGAGTGACATTTAAGATGTGAAGGAGATGATGGAACAAGCCAAGTATGTAACTACCAAACTTTCAGATAGAAAGAACATTAAGAGTAAAGCTAGGGTCATGGCTCAGTGGTAGAGTGATTACCTATCATGTGTGAGGCACTGGGTTCAATCCTCAGCACTGCATAAAAATAAATTAAATAAATAAATAGATAGATAAAATACAAGGTATGTGTCCATCTACAACTTAAAGAAAAAAAAAAAGAGTAAAGCCCCAAAGCCTGAAGTGTCCCCAGTGTGTTTGAGAAATATAATCTAATATAGATTTAAAAAAAAAAGAATAGCTGGAGATGAGGGAAGCAGAAAAGTAAAGTCTGAGGGCAGAATCTATTTATTTACTTATTTTTATTAGAGACAGGTCTTGCCAAGTATGGTGGTGCACACCTGTAATAGTAGCTACTTGGAAAGCTGAGGCAGGAGAAAGTCCCAAGTTTGAGGCTAGCTGAGTAATTTAGCAAGACCCGGTCTCAAAATTAAAAAGTCAAAAGCGGCTGGGAATGTAGGTCACTTCTAAGAGTGCCTCTGGGTTCAATCCCAGTACCACAAAAAGAGAGGAGATGGAGAGAGACAACTGTGTTGCTATGTTGCCCAGGCTGATCTTGAACTCAATATTCTCCTGTCATCTGGATGTGGTGGCACATGCCTGTAATCCCAGAGACTCAAGAGGCTGAAGGAGGAGGATCACAAGTTTGAGGCCAGCAATTAAGCAAGGCCCTAAGCAACTTAGTGAGACCCTGTCTCAAAATAAATAAAAAGGGCTGGAGATATGGCTGTAGCTCAGTGGTTAAGTGCCCCTAGATTCAATCTCTATTTAAATTAGAAAAAAAATCTCCTGTCAGCCTCCCCAATAATAGTTCTGACTATAGGCATATGCCACCATGTCCTAGGTCATGTACAGTCTGTAGAGCACTGAAAAATTCTTTTAGTTTGAGTAAGATTAGGAGATAAAAAAGGGTTTGATAAGGGGATTGTCTTTTCCTAACTTAATATTTTAACAGGATCACTGGATATGTTGTGTTGGGAACAGATAGTAAAGGAAGAAGTTAGGAGATTACTAGTGGAATAAGGATGAGATCAGGTTTGACTTGAACAAATAGAAGCAAAATGGAAACGTTGTCAATTAAGATGGTAAGGGTACAGGAAGACCAGATTTGGAAAAGACAGGAACTCAATTTTATTTATATTCAAAAGCCTGTTTAGATATGGAAATGAAAACATCAAATAGGCAATGAATATATGTATCTGGATATAAACTTTTCTACAAGTCTTGAATATCTCAATCAACTTCTCCCTCATATACAATACAAAACTCACAAGCCAAGAAAACTGAGCAGACAACATAATATTCAAGAGATTGTTATACTTGCCAGTGACTATGAAGAGTGAGGACTGCAGCCAAGGAGTAGTCCATTGCAGAGCAAGGATTCAAATATGCAGCTGGAAGCAGGCCCAGTAGCAAAACACTGACAACCCTCTCACTAGTCCAGTGAAGAGATGCAGCCTTGGAACCAGCTGTAAAAACAGACCAAATTCCATAGAGTTAAGAGAAGAGGGCTGGGGTTATGGCTCAGCGGTAGAGCGCTCACCTAGAACGTGTGAGGCCCTGGGTTGGATCCTCAGCACCACATAAAAATAAATAAAGGTACTGTGTACAACTAAAAGATAAACATTAAAAAAAAAGAGAGAGAGAGAGAAGAGACACACAGCTCTCATGTTCAACATTTAGCACATAATAATCTAAAATGACAGAACGGCAAACAGTATACATGCAACATTTAACTGAGCAAAAAGAGATTAAGACATAAAAACAGGTCACTGAGAGAAAGAACATTCCTTTGTTGAAGTCTTTTAGCACTAGGGTGTCTCATGCCTATGCATATTAATTAGAAGACAAACATACTTTGCTTCTTAGCAAGAAGGCAGAATTAAGCCAACCTTGGACTTCAGTGAAATAGGTACCTTATGAATATAAGTTATCAACATCTGATGAATTACTTGTTTTTTTAGACCTTCTAACCTTTGCAAGTAATGTAGTATTATCTTCTGAAAATAAAGTTAAATCTACCAACTCAAAGCAAAGCAAAGGTCTGAGGTCAACTTCAGAGATCATGGTCCTTCTTCTGACCTTGACTTACAAATAAGTCCAAAACAAATGAAACACAAAAAATCTTATTAGGGGCTGAGGATGTGGCTCAAGCAGTAGCGTGCTCGCCTGCCATGCGCAGAGCACTGGGTTCAATCCTCAGCACCACATAAAAATAAAATAAAGATGTTGTGTCCACCGAAAACTAAAAAATAAATATTAAAAATAAAAACTCTTATTAAAGTAAAAAACAGTAGGGATTTTACATATCTCTTTGAAAGACTATCTTTTTTTGGTTACAGATCCCTTTGGGAATCTAATAAAAGGATAGAGGAGTTTCTTCCCAGAAAAATGTACATAAATACATATTTATGTAAACAACTTCAGAGACTTTTCTTCAGCCCTGTGTACTCCAGAACCACTCTGCTAAATCCAACCATACTAAGCAAAGAAATCCACAAACAAAAAGTTTTCAAAGCTGAGTATGGTGGTATATGCCTATCATCCAATGACGTGAGAGACTGAGACAGGAGGCTCACAAGTTTGAGGCCAGTCTGGGCAATTTAGCAAGACCATGTGTCAAACTAAAATAAAAAGAGCTGGGGATATAGTTCAGTGGTATAGCAACCCTGGATTCAATCATCAATAATAGGAAGAAGAAGCAGAAAAACTAGTCTCACTTAGGCTCTCATAACTAATGAGTGAAGTCTTTATATAAAACATTGTTCCCAGTAGCTTGGGAGACTGAAGCAGGAGAACTGCACGTTTCAAAGCCTGCCTCAGAACCTAATGAAGTCCTAAAGCAATTCTGCGAGATCATCTCAAAATAAAATATAAAAAAGGGCCAAGGATGTGGCTCAGTGGGTTAAGCACCACTGGGTTCAGTCACTGGTTACTAACTGCCACTCCCCAAAAGCCAATCACTGATCTCTCCAGACTTTAAAAATAAAAATATAGTTGGGTCATTATTTACTTCCTCATTTTTTTGGGGGGGGTAGGGGATAGGTACTGGGGATCAAACCCAAAGACCCTACACCAGTAAGCTATAACCACAGTCCTTTTTATTTCAAGACAAGTTGCTTAGGGCCTCACTAAGTTGCTGAGGCTGACCTCAAACTTGCAATCCTCCTGCCTCAGCCTCTTGAGTTGCTGAGATTACAAGTGTTCACCACCACATCCAGTTCATCTTCAGATTTTCTAAGACTAATCTGAATAATACTAAATAACATTCCTCTAAGAAATGCCATATGGTTTTAAAGTAACCTTAAAAAAAAAATAATCCCAGCTATAAATACACATTACAGTGCACGGACATGACTTTTAAATTGTCTCAATTATCTACATCTGGCTCCTATCCATTAGCTAAATATACACAAGTGATTAAATTGTACTGAGCAGAATATTCCTAAGCGTTATTTTCTTTTTAAAGAAATTTTTAAAAAATTTTAAAGACCTAATTAGGCCAGAAGGTTCTCTCTGAGTATAAATGGTATTATTCAACTATGCTGTCACTGTCTGCCTAAAATTAGGTCTTCATTTGATACAGGTGGACAGGAGAGTCCCCCTAAAAGACCTCAAGCCCTACCAAAGACATGATAATGAACCCAGGTTAGAGCCAAGAAAACAGCAGTGATGGAAAAACATACAATGGCGGTTTGGTGACAGGTGAATGTGCTGTGTTCCAGTCCATCCTGGGGTAAGTCGGTCCTGGAGAAATGCTGAGATGTGAGCAGGTCTGACCAATGGGGTTCGGAGGAACAGAGCTGAGGAAAGAAACATTACAGGGATCATAAGCACCTCTTCTTTAACAGAACTGATAGACTTTCTAAGTGATCATAATAAACAAACTACTTAACCCTAAACAGGAGATAATATCTCATCTACAAAATGAAGATAGTGTTGATTTCACGGGGTTAACTATGAACTCAATCAGGTAATCATCAAAAGACTGAAGACTCAATGAAACACTTATGTAAAAGGACCTCACTTTTATCTACTTAAAAAAAAGGGTAGCTTCTTCTCTATTCTCATCTATTTATCCAATATTTACTAAAATCAAGACTATGCGTGGTTCTGGAGCAAGACAGATAAAAGACAAAGTCTCTGCTCTTGAAGAATTCAGTCCAGTCTGAAAAGTTCACATACTAACTTCTTCCATTTCAAGACCAATGTCTCTACTTAACACTCTCGAACCATTTCTATCTCTGTTGGATCCTATCTCTTGGTTGAAAAATAGACCTAATTCACCCAGGAGCACCACTTTTTACCTCTGACATAATAATCAGCTTAATTAAATGGGGTCTCTAAGCCTCAATTTCCTCATTTGTTAAAGAATAATAGTACTTACTTCACAATAATGTTAAAAAATTGATAATATATATAAGGGATTTAGCACAGCTTTCATAAAGTTGAAGACACACAAGAATTCCTTATTATTTTATCTCCTATATCTTTAATTTCTCCTTCCATTTGGCTATCTTCCCTCAACGTAATATACTTAACCCTTACTTTAATCCCATGTCATTTAAGAAATGCCCGCACAGCTCTTTCTTTCCTTTCCCAGCTCTTTCTTTCCTTTCCATCTTAATTCAGGGAGATGACACTGAATTACAGACTTCTACCAGTGTCTCCCTGACTTGTATCTGAGTCTACTATATCTTCCATCAGAGCCATGTACTATATTGTTACCAAAATGATGTTTAAATTGCAAATCTGTCAAACATTTCTTTTTTTAAATTTTTTTGAGAGAGAGAGAGAGAGAGAGAGAGAATTTTTTAATATTTATTTTTCAGTTCTCAGCGGACACAACATCTCTGTTTGTATGTGGTGCTGAGGATCGAAGCCGGCCGCACGCATGCCAGGCAAGCACGCTACCGCTTGAGCCACATCCCCAGCGCCTGTCAAACATTTCAATGGCAACCCTTTAGGAGTTGGAGGACAGCCTGGACAAAATATGAAGATTCTGTCTCAAAAAAACGAAAGAAGAAGTCAGGCACAGTGGTGCATGCCAGCAGCCTGGGAGGCTGAGACAGAAGAATTGTAAGCTCAAGCCTCATCAATTTATCAAAGCCCTAAGCAACTTAATGAGACCCTGTTTCAAAATAAAAAGGAATGGGGATGTGCTCAATGGTAAAGCACCCTGGGTTTGATCCCCAGTACAAAAAACAAAAACCAAACCAAACCAAAACAAACAAAAAGCTACACTTCAATAAGGTAAGGCACACAATCTTATATTAAGATCAGTTCTTGGGCTGGGGTTGTGGTTGAGTGGTAGAGTGCTCGCCTAGCACTTGTGAGGCACTGGGTTTGATCCTTAGCACCATGTAAAAATAAAAGTAAATAAAGGTATTATTCCATGTACAAGTAAAAAATATATTTTAAAAAAAGATGGATTCTTTTATGATTCAGTTTCACTTCACATTTCTAAACTCATTTCTCACCTTGATCTTCATGTTCTCACACTATTCTATTTGTTTTCTCTCATACCATGCAGATTCTATGCCTTCATCATTGTTTTTGCTCATTTCAGCAGATCCTTATTTCCTTACTTTCTTTATCCTCAAGACTCAAATCAGGCATACCTCTTTAGGAGCCAAGTACTGGCCAAATAACCCTGTTATACTGTGTGCATGCATAAATATATAATAAAAAGCCCCAAATTATGTATAACAATAATGCACCAATTTTTTAAAAATGGATAAAAAAATCTTAGATCTTTAAGAAAAAAAAAAAAAAAGAAAGAAAGTAAGAAAGAGAGGAGCATATAATCCCAGCAAATCAAGAGCCTGAGGAAGGAGAATCTCAAATTCCACGTCAGCCGCCACAACTTAGTGAGACTCGGTCTCAAAATAAAAAGCAAAAAGGGCTGGGGATGTAGCTCATTAGTAAAGAACCCCTGGGTTCAATCCCTAGTAGTAAAAACAAAAACAAAAACAAACAAAAAAACCCAAGACAGGGTAATCCTTCCAAACTACAGCTAAAAATATTCTTTCTCTGAACTCACATTACAATTTACGTACAGAACAAGATTTTGCTTTATGTTAGATTATTGTTATCAACATTTTCCCTAAAAAATGAAAGTTCTTCGAGGGCAGGCGTTACGTCTTATTCAAACTTGTATCCAGCCTTACTTCAGCACTGGTAGAACATAAATGCCCAGTTAACAAGATTATCGAACTGATCCACTACATCCACACTTAAACACAACTCTTTAGGAAAAACCTGAGAAACCACGCATTGGGACTCTTTCTCCTGGTGCAAGGTAAGAAAAAAAAAGAGTTCCTATGTGGAATATCCTCGGGAACACTGTAACTTCCAGAGGAACTTTCTTCCAAATTACCCCATCACCACTTCAGCCTTAAGCAGGTGTGATACGCGCTCAGGTGAACATTTGGGCCCGCAGGCCACAGTGGTCACTGCGGTGATTCGCACAGATGCCTGAGGCGCAGCAGAGAGGGAAGACCTTCTACTCAAGATGTCTCCCCACAGGTCAGAAGAGTCTTCACTCCCATCCCCTTCCCCGATTGGAGGCTGCGCTAAACAATTCTACCTGCCAGGACCCCTCACCTCGGCCTCCTTGAGCACCGCAGAGGACACCGAGCCTCAAGAGAACCGCCATCTCGCTTTTGAGGGCTCAAGGTCGTCCATCAACCCGGAAGCAGTTAAGCGACAACTCCCACCCCACAACGACCACAGGAAACGCGGAGAAAAACGCTAGGTGAACCGGAAGTAGGAGTCTGTCGCACTCACTGCGCACGCGCACTCACGAGTTTGATTCTGAGAATGGCGGAGCTTGGGGAGGCGGACGAAGCGGAGTTACAGCGCCTGGTGGCCGCTGAACAGCAGAAAGCGCAGTTCACTGCACAGGTGAGAGGGCCGGGATCAGACTTGGGAGTTTTAAGAAAAGGAAGGTGAAGTGAAGGTCCCGGACCCGTGGAGCTCTGTATTACTGACGAAGTGGTGAGGCGACTGGAAAGCTGGATCCCCACTGTGATCCGGTCCCCTGCTGTAGTGCTCAGGTAGGGGATAGAAGTTAAAAGCATGGGATCCTTACCAGCCAGGGGACCGTGTGGGCTCCCATCTGCCTCTGCCTTTTGAAGGCCACGTGCCAGGAGTCGAGACACCCACCCACTTTGTTTTGATTTCGTTGTAGCTTTCTGCCTCTGTGGATTGGTGAAGATCGTTTGCGATAATGTATTTGAAAATAATGGGCACGAAAACATTATTGGAGAAAGCTGAGCTCTTAAGAATTCATTGCAGGACTGGGATTGTGGCTCAGAGGTAGAGCACTAGTCTAGCACGTGTGAGGCCCTGGGTTCGATCCTCAGCACCACATAAAAATATATTGTGTGTCCAGCTACTTCTAAAAAAAAAAAAAAAAAGTTAAAAAAAAAGAATTCATTGCAAAGCAAGGGTTTTGTTTTGTTTTGGAGACTTATGGGGAGATTCAAACCCCAGCGTGGCCTTTGCTGGCTGCATGACCTTGGACATATATTTAGTACCTAGCCTCTGAATAATACCGCGGGTAAATGTTTATTTTCTCCCTTTTGCTGGGCAGTAGGAGGAGGCACTATGCAGGAAGAGTAGCAAGAACCTGTTAGAAATTTTTGGGTCCTGAATATTCTGAAAATGCACACGTTTTCTGTGCCCATATATGCACTTTTTTTCTGGAGAATGAATCCGTATTCTTAATGTATCCATGGCCCCCACAATGTTAAGAACTAACATTGTCTTCAGGGCACAGGTTCTGAATGAGTGCTGCTACTTTCCCGTTTTTACCTTGTGCTAGCTGCCTTGGGGGATATTAAATTCTCAGGTAGTGCTAATACCTTAAAGAAGGTATTAGCACTACCTGAGAATTTACCATCTGTAGGGATGAGGATCTGAACCAATTGGAGACATGTAACAAAGAGCCCAAAGTGATTTCCCATGGTTCATTGGGTGAAAGGACAGTTTTGTGAGGAAATTGAAAATGAAGTAAGAGAGTGATCACTTAGGGTTATCTACAGACCCCAATGATTAATATTTTTCTTCCCCCTTAGGTGCATCACTTCATGGAGCTATGTTGGGATAAATGTGTGGAGAAGCCAGGGAATCGCCTAGACTCTCGAACTGAAAATTGTCTCTCTAGCTGTGTGGACCGCTTCATTGACACTACTCTTGCCATCACCAGTCGGTTTGCCCAGATTGTACAGAAAGGAGGGCAGTAGGCCACCCCTTAAGAAAATGACAAAAGCAGTAAAGGACTTGTTATTAAGCAGATTGAAGTGCAAGTGGGGGAGGAATTGTCAACCAATTGTCAAGTCAGCATCAGGCTGTTACCAAGTTTGTTGGTGCTAAAAAGTAACAGATCGAATGTTCAAAAAGTGAAATTTTATTTATTTGGAATTCAGAAATTCCAGGTTGTATCACACCAGTTATTCAATAAACATGAATTCTCCAACTTTCTTTTTTTCCTTTAAATTTCATTTTAGGATTTAATATTGAGATATCTGGCAGGAACATTAGAAATAAACATGTTCCAAGGCTAGTAGTGCAAATAGGAGATGATAGGTTTTGAAGAGCCACCCTAAGCCATAGTTAAAAGGGTTGGAAGTAGCATCAAAGTCTTAGCCTAAGGCATAGAAGAGAATTTGGAGTTGAAAGATTAATAACAAAACAGCTTTATTGCTTATACTTGACCAAGAAAAGATAAAACATAAAAGGGAAAAAAAAACAGGCAAAATATGTATTCCTTGGGAAAGAGATAAGCCTGCTAGTATGGTAGGAGGGAAAGGTCAAGACCCAAAGAGCCAACTTCCTGGAGGTGCCTTATTCCACTGGCTCATTTTCCCAAATCTGTGCTTTCAATCAGTACTTAAGAGCGCAAAACAATGCTAAAAAAAATACTAATAACTCCTTCCAACAAAGACTTCAGTTGCTCCAAGAAAGTTAAGAGGTAGTAATTAAAAGACTCTTCTTCCCCCCTATTAGGTTTCCACTTATGCCAAGGACAAAAATATATACCATGGAACATTGACAACTGAGTACCAAAGTATTAGTATTTCAAATAAATATCCCAAAAAGTAGCACCCACTCATAATCAAAGGATAGGGCACCTCTGGCCAACCATGTATTTTAAAACCAAGCATTTATTAGAAATTGTTCCATAAAGAGAACTAATTTTAGTAGTTAGAACTATAAAATACACTTCATGGAATGTCATCATAGTTGTATTCTATTGCTGGTGTCTTAAATTGTCATGCTACCATGAAGTACTTCTCTATTACACATGGGGAAAGGCCAGGGAGATTAACTTAAGCTGCTCTAGAACTTACAACTGATTAATGGCAGAACTAAGACCAAAAGTCTTGAGTTTTTAAGCCTTTTTCTTAGCTCATAAAGTGACAATAAGGAAGAAAATGACAATATGCCACTTGACCTTTTCTCCCATAATGAAAACTTCACCTGTGTTCTGCCAGCCTTCTCTCAGTGATATTTTGGTTTCTGAAGAAATAACAGTAGGGATCACAGTTCTGGCAAAGAGAAATAATGTGGTCTCTACTTGGTGCTTTAACTCAAAGGCAGAGTGGGAAGAAGTAGATGTCCCTGAGAAGCCTGTTTCATTTTGGAACTGATTCAACTTAGTTTCAGGGAAAATCTAAATTCATTACTAGAATTAGAAATGAACAAGGAAGACAAAGGGCTGGGAGTACAACTCAGTGGTAGAATGCTTGCCTAGCATGCGTAAGACCTTGGGAACAATCCCCAGACTGGGGGGTGGGGACAATATATAGACATTTAGATGGCTGTTGCTACCCTAAATCCCCTTCAGAGCATTATTAACATAACTATTCCTAATTCTTCCCCATTTGGTAGGTGTTATGACAACTGAAGAAATAATTTTGAACACAAGTCTGTTTAGGCAATATACAGCAATGGAACTAGAAAACCATTTACTATCCAGTTACCATGTGTTACAAGTACACTAAGTGTAGCTATAGATCCTGTCCAGCAGGGAAATTTGGGAAAACCCTAGACTCAGTTGTCTTTGGATCTTAACATGAAACAGTTTGTTCTTAAGCCATTTTCTCATTAAATAAATCAGACCACAGTTGTGGGGTCAAAAAAACCCAAGGATCAAAGCACCAAGGCTGAAGACAAACCAATTAGGATACCTGCTGTATAAACATAACATAGTGTTTGCTTTATCAAACCATTCTACTTAACACTGCTTTCCAATCAATCCCTCTTGATCTCAGCCCTCAGTTTCCCCAACTTCAACATTCCAATTGGTGTACCCAGGTCATTATTGGATTCAGCTTTCTGGGTTCTTTAATTTACTATATATGTCCTCTACACTAAATGTGATTAATTGCAAAAAAATAATCTCTTCAAGAAACCTTCATAACAAAATACCAGATTCCCTATTAACAAGAAAAGGGGATCAAGTTTAACAGGCCAAAACAGAAGACAGGAGTCTGTCAAAACATATAGATGGCACAAGACAGCTCTGACCTCAGACCCCCTGTGCTGAAGGAGTCACTGGCCAAACTCCAAGGTGTAAGAGCTGTAAATAACCAGAGTCAAATGAGAAATACAAGAATGTTTCCCATTTAGTCATCCTCTGAGCTCTCCGCAGACCTTTCATCTGTAGCCACTTTCCAATTTGTGCGTTTGTTTGTCCTCTCCTGTATTTCATTGTTAACTATGGGGATATGGACATTTTTCTCTCTCTTTTTCCTTTTGGTTTTCTCATTGTCTCTTTCCTCACTCTCCTCAGAACTGCTGGATGCTGAATCATCTGACTGGGAAGTGTCACTTTCTGCCGCTACAAATAAAGCAGATTTTTTGAGAGACTTTTTCCTAGATTTTTTCTTGCGCTTATGTGGTTGTTTTCTTTTCCTGGTACTAGAAGCCCCAATTTCTTCTGAGTACTCGCTTGAGGAATCTGCTGTTACATCTGTGGCTTCCTTCTTGCTTTTCTTCTGTTTCTTGTGTGATCTTTTTTTCTGCTTCTTTTTGTGAGATTTCTTTGACTTCTTATGTTTGCGGGATTCGTGAGTAGATGATTTTACCTGGGGAGATGTTTTTTTCCCATTGGTAATATCTTGCTGATCACTACTAATAAGAGTTAAAAACAAACAAATAAAAAAAAAAACAGATTCTTTTATGTAGAAAAGGTACACATAAACATTTTAATATTCTGCATTCTAGATAAGAAATTGTTAACATTTGAATTTTAAATCAATTTTGACAAAGGGTTACTATGAGTCTTACACACTTACATTGAGTATTTGTTTCATCTTTAAAATGAAGATAAAAATTCTAATATTGTACCATATTGTACAGAATAGTTAAACACCAGTCTCCCCTTATCCATGGTTTCATTTTCTGTGGGTTGTTGGCCAATCACAGGGCAAAAATACTAAATGGAAAATTTCAGAAATAAATATTCACAAGTTTACAATTGCATGCCATTCTAAGTAGTATGATGAAATTCCTCACAGTCCCTCTTTGTCCCACCTGGTATGCAAATCACCTTATCCAGCTACCCAACCCTTAGTCATTTAGAAGTCATCTGGGTTATCAGCTCTATCATGGTACAGCAGTGCTTATGTTCAAGTAAACCTTATTTTACTTATCAGTGGCCCAAAGCACCAGAGTAGTGATGCTGGCAGTTCAGATATACCAAAGAGAAGCCATAAAATGCTTCCTTTAAGTGAAAAGATAAAAGTTTGTTACAGGTACGTATTATGCACAGGAAAAAAAAAAGTAATATAGTGATTGGGATTCAGTACTATCTGAGATTTCAGGCATCCACTGCAGGTTTTAGAACACATCTACCATACATAGGAAAGGACTATTATATATAAAAATCAAAATATTTACAAATATGCCAAATATAAATTAAAAGCAGACAAAACAGGGATTGCCTCCCAACCAAATCTTTTTTCCTTTTTTTTTTTGTTGTGGGGACAGGAAATAGGGGCTTTCTATGTTGACCAGGTGGTCTCACTTCCTGGGCTCAAGTGATCCTACTGCCTCAAACATCGGAATAGCTAGGACTAAAAGTATAAACCACCACACCTAGTTCTAGCTACATTTTCAGTGGCAAATATTTTAAAAAATTAGGAAGGTAATTTATAATATAGACTTTTTATGCTACCTTAATTTTCAACTTTTTTTTCAGTAAACCCAATTATCTTACCTGTCTGTTTCAAACTCTTCAGGGTACAATTCTTTATAACCACTGTGACCCCATCTGTAAGGTGACACATTATATTGTTAAAGCAATGCATACATTTTGGGAAATTAAAAAGATTTAACTTATGCCATATATACACATTCATACACATGGGACAAAGAAAACAGACATATAGTACAGCCATATCCTTATTATAGCTCAGTAACAGCTACATTTTCTGTATTGTACACTATCATTTCAGACACATAGGATTCCTCTATCCATTTGTAAAAGAATTATCCATTCTTTTTTAAGATACTGCTCTTTAGGTAAAAGGCACTTTTCCAAAAATAATGTCATTGGGGCAATTATTTTCTTAAATAACAGTAATTTAAAAATATTTATTGAAATATAATTCACATACCAAGAAATTTACCCTTTCAAAATGTGGTGCCTCTAACCCATGTCAACTATCAATCTATCAATCTCTACTCATTTGACTATCTTGGACATACCATGTAAAAATAAATCATGTCACTTTTTGTGTCTGGCTTTTCTTTCATCTTGCATAAGATTTAAGGTTCTTCTATGTTGTAGTACATATCAGTAATTCATTCCTCTTACTGCCAAAAAAAAATCCCCTTGTACAGATATCCCACATTTTGTTTATCAATTCATCAGGAAATATTTGGGTTTCTACTTTTTTGGCAATTATGAACAAAGCTGCTATAAACACCTGTGTCCAGGTTTTTGTTAGGTCACTAATTCTCAAGTACATATTCTCAGGCCAAATACCATTAAAGATCATAAAAAAATTAATCACAAACCTGTCTGGCATGTTAGCTTCATAATCATATAGCTTCTTATTCCAGGATTTAGCTTTCAGAAAATCATCTTCCAGAGTCCCAGCAATTTCATTCTTTGGCCTCCAGTAGTCTCTTTGACTTTCTTCATCAAAACCATCACTACGCATCCGACTACAGAAGAAAACAGAACTTTTAGACTTCAAAACAATCTGTAAGGTTACTTTATGAAGTATCATGCATAAAACACAGAACAGGCTGAGAGGAGGAAAAAAACAACCAAATATTGTTTAAAAAATAAAAATAACATGTATTAGAAATTATCTGTTCATTTCTGCTAACAGTTTCATCTGAAATGTCCTCCAAAGACCCATGAGTTGAGGCTTGATCCCCAGAGTGACACTATTGGGAGGTAATGGAACCTTTAAGAGATGAGGCCTAGTAGAAGGTCTTTAGATCATTGGTGGGTGTGCCCTCAAGGAGAATAAGGGAAATCAGTCCTTCCTATTCTCTCCTTTTCTGCTTCCTGCACATGAAGTGAGCAATTTTGCTATACTTTGCATTCTGGACATGACAAGCTGCCTCACCTCAGGCACAAAGCAATAGCACCAATCTACTATGAAACCTCCAAAACTATAAGCCAAAATAAACCTTTTCTCTTTAGAAATTAATCATCTCAGGTATGTTGTTATTGTGATAAAGCTAACACAACTCTATTTATTTGTAAAGGCCAACAACAAATCTTAGGGCTGGGGTTGTGGCTCAGAATTGAACCCAGTGGCTCACAACCACTCAGCACCACATATAAATAAATAAATAAATAAATAAATAAATAAGTAGGTCCATCCACAAAATATATATGTGTGTGTGTGTGTGTTTATATATAAACAATAACAAATCTTGACTGTTACTACTCCCATTATAGAGTATAGATGAAATCATTTTTGGACTGTGTCATGCTGTAGGCTCACTCACTAATTCTTCACCAGGAGAGCATGCAAAGTGAGAAGCACAGCAAAATCACAGTTGGGAATATTTTACTCTAGAGTTTCTGAAACACACCTCCCACTCTTGCAAATCAGCAACTTGCTGTAATAAGGCCATAGTAACAATGGGAATAAGGACTAATCCATGGTAATATTGGGGCAGGAAAAATGTTGATAACCACTGATCTGGCCTCTGCTTACAATCTCCACTAACCAGCCACTAAGCTACCTCATGAGTTATTAAAAATGTTTAAGGCTCTCCTACATGCCAGGCACTACTGTTCTAGCTGGTAGGAAAAGAACAGCAAATGACATTATCAGAATTCTTGTCCCTAAAAAAGATTGTTTTAAAATTTATTAACTTTCAGTTGCAGCAAATCTATAGGCTGAGACAGAAGGACCTCAACTTAGCAAGGTCCTAAGCAACTTCATGAGACCCTGTCTCAAAATAAAAAAAGGGATAGGGATGTAGCTCAGTGGTAAAGTGCCCCTGGGTTCAATCCCCAGTACTAAAAAAAAAAAAAAAAAAAAAGAAAAAAAAGATTTACCATTCATTCACCATGACAGCATTAGGAGAAGTCTACTCCAAGAGAAATCGTTTTATTTCTGGATTGCCACTTGGAATTAACCAGTACAAAATAAATCATTACCTGTACTAACTCTACTTCTGAATTCTCAAAGGACCACCTTCAGAAAGGAAAAAAAAAAAAAAAAAACCCTAGCAGATATTTATTTATATTGTGACTGTCTTTTTACCATGTACATCCTAAATACTTCTTACTTGAAGCTATTCATACATAGGTAATCATACACTGAAGTCCACATACTCCACAGGCATACATACTCTCCTTAAATATCTCATTATTAACTGTTAATTTCCACACACACCCCCAAAAAAGCTTTAGAAATCAGAATTATGACTTTATATTCATTTCTCTTAAACATAGCTTCTACACTTATAGGCATATGAGTGAAGCCTAAGAGATGTTCCAAGTTCCTCAGACATTCCTATACCTCCACAGATAAAAGAAAACTAAGCTTGTATAATCCTTCACATTCACACTCAAAATTATTATAAAGGAAATATGGAATGCTATTGATTTGGCAAAGACAGTAAATAGATGGAGCAAAGAAAAAGGCTGAAAGAATGAAAAGTTAAAGGGAAATGGAATGATTGATTAATTAAATGACCAAAAGATTCCAATAGAAAACTGTAAGTTTAAAAACTATTAGACAAGGTCAGAATCTACGACCCTAAGTATTTATAATTGTCCACAGCTGAATTTTTTTTTAAGTTTTCCATTGCAAATAAGTATTGCTGGGCATAGTGGCACATGACTATAACCCAAGTGATTCAGGAGGCTTAGGCAAAAAGATCACAAGTTTGAGATCAGCCTTGGCAACTTAGCGAGACCTTTCTCAAATAAAAGATACAAAGGGTTGGGGATTTAGTTCAGAGGTAGAATGCCCACTGATATGGTTCAAGCCCCAGTACCACAAAATAAACTTGAATAAATTAAATTAAAAGGATTGGTATTCCAGCAATTCGGGACACAGAGGCAGGAGGATTTCCAGTCCAAGCCCAGCCTTGACAACTTAGCAAAACCCTGCCTCAAAAAAAAAAAAAAAAAAAAAAATGCTGGGACTATAGCTCAGCTGTAGGAGTAAGAAATTTTAGAATAAGTACTAGCATGTGTGAGGCCCTCAATTCAATCCCCAGCACTGCAAAAAAAAAAAAAAAAAAAAGGCAAATAAATACAAAGTGTCTAGCATATGGATCATAATCATTATCTTTATGTTTGGGTCTAGATTTGTAAAAAAGGGAAGGCTTAATATAACTCACATGACTGAATTTATCGATCTTAACATATCAATATATTTTTAAGCAAAAGTTGATAATTATTAAGAAGATGAGAAATATTCTGGTTCTCAGAGCTGCAACTTCACCTTGAACTGCTGGGTAACATTTTCCTTTTCGTCCCCTGGTAAGCATCCTCCATCTGTTTCTCTAGTTCTCTTATTTTCCACATATCTGACTCCTCCTGAATCTAGATTTATTTTTAAAAGGAAAGAAACAAAAATAAGTCACTAAAAATAACACTTTACATTGCAGAAAAGTATCTGAAAATACAGTCTGCACTAATTACAGGTTACAGACTGGACTATGATCAGGCACCTAGAAAATAAATTCTGGCTTCTCTAGAAAGTGGCTGAACAATTTAATAGATGAAATCTCAAGTATGTAGAATTCTACAGCAACAGAACTTTTTAACCCCTGCATAATCAGATTTACTACCCTACCAAATTTACAATTGTGCTGCAATTAACAAATAACAACAATTTCTAAGATACAACATAATTTTAACTATATAATCTCAATTAACTCGTAAGCAACTTTATGAGGAAAACAAGGCAGGTATCATTATTACATTTTACTGAGAAAAAACAAAAGCTCAGAGAAAGTAAAAAAAAAAAAAAAACTAAAATTTCTAAGCCAAGACTCTTTTGACATTATAATTCTTGTCAAAAACAAAAACAGTATGGTTGCTAGAGAATTTCCTAGAAAGCAAAGTACAACTGCCCACGAACAAGAACACATTTTATTTCTAATTTCTCCTGCATAATTGTTTTAAATCTGTGCTAGGTTTATCATTTTTAGCTACTACTCTCAAATCTTAAATCCCCCATATAACTAGAAGTAGGTTAACACAATTGCACATCAGCATAAGTAGCAGTTATAACCTCACCCACAATTAAAAACTTAAGTGATCTGATAGTGGTATTATTTATGATAAAACCAATGGTACAATTTACTGAAGAACACTAACCTAGGGGTCTTGGCCCCTCCTTTTCATTATATGTACTCTCTTAGGTGACCTTATCTACCTACTCTTATGACCTCTATCACTTATCTACATATCAATTTTCATTTATTTCCATTCCCAACTTTTCTCCTTTCTTCCAAATTCAAACTTTCAATTGTAAGCCCCACACTATAAAATGGTCAAAACCAAACAAAATAAAGTTCTCATCATATTTATCTTTCATTGTTATTGTCCCCTGTTTTAATTAATGGAATCATCATTATCATCTACAGTCACACACACTGATTCCACTCTTATCACTATCCCATCAGTCTCCAAGACTTTTTGACTGTATCTCCTAAATTGCTCTTCTGTTCCCTACAGTCACTGCTTTCATTCAAACCCTCATCATCTCTCACCTGGAACACTATATTCATTTCCTCAATGATCCCTCTACTGTTTCTCCCATCTGATTTATTCCCTACCCAGTTAATAAATCATCTTTCTAAAATACAAATATAATCATGTTGAAAATATTTGATGGCTTTTTTATTGCTTTGAGGTAAAAGTCTAATTTCTAAACATCACAAACTAACCCTAATTTGCTATTCAGATCTTATCTAATACTATATTCCCTATTTTCTAGATGCACACCAAGTGATTCATGCCTTTTCTTTCTTTTTTTGGTGGTTCTGGGCATTGAACCCAGGGCTTTGCACATGCTAGGAAAGTACTCTACTACTGAGCTACGGCTGCAGCCCATGCCTTATTGTTTCCATAGATGATACTCTGTTCAGAATGATCTTTTATATCAAATAAAATTATAGCAATTCATCAAGAACCAGTTAAAATATCAGCAGTTCAAATACATTCATTCTGCAGGAGCTTTTCTAATTTCCCAAGGCAGAGTTCAATATTCCTTCTTCAGTGCTCTAACACACTTTGTAACTGTCTACTAAATAGTACTTACCAAACTGTACTGTAATTATCTATTGATTCATACTGGTACTTCCCAACTGTGCCAGAATAATGCTTAGTATACTAAATGGGCTAAGAGTTGAGCAATGACTGGGATGTACCTCCCACCTTATTGTGAGCATCTGTATGCCGGATGACATTCCTCAGGAGGACTTTCCCCAATGGAACCCGAGACATTCTTCAATCTGAAATGAATAAATAAATAACACTTAATAATCTCTTTGATTGTCTCATCTTTTGTTAAATTTTATAAAGAAGTATAAGGTAAAGGAAAGATCACTGAACTAGAAGTCAAAGGTCCTGAGGAATAGTTTTTCCTTCACCATTAAAAGAAAGAAATATCTTATCACAATTAATATAAAGATGTAAAGAAATAATGCACATTAAAGTCCTTTAAAACTAAAATTAAGTGCTTTCATAGGCTCAGATTTATTTAATCTTCACAACTCTACGCTTTAATAAGGCAAATAGCTGTCCCTCAGTATCTACAGGGGATTGGCTCCAGGACCCTGAAGATATCAAAATCCAAAGATGCTCAAGTCTCTTAATACAAAATGGGGTAGTATTTACATTTAGCCTATGTACATCCTTCTGTATACTTTAAATCATCTCTAGATTACTTATAACACCTAATACAATGCAATGTAAATAGTTGCTAAAGTGTATTCTTTAGGTAATAACAACAAGAAAAACATCTGTACAGGTTCAGTACTGAGGCAATTTTTTCTCAATATTTTCAATTGGCTGTTGGTTGAACCCGAAAACGCAAAGATGCGGAACAGAGGATACCGAAGGGCCGACTGCATCTCCATTCCTATTTTGTAGATGAAGTTCCCTTAAAAAGTCGTAACTTGCCCCAGGCCTCATAATCCCAGGCAAACGATGTGTGTCAATGTCCAGTTTAGAAATCAAATCTCCAATCCCAAAATTAGTTTGCGATGAAGCAAATACCTAGATTTAAGAGTGTCAGAAACCACAAAAGTCAACAGTAACAAAAACTGACGCCTAAAAACATCAAATGTAAAGATGGGTTTAATTTCTTAATTCAGGGCCTTTTATTTCCTATTCTGTATGGAAGTTTCCAAAAACTAGATAACAAATCTATGCATATGTGCAGCTAGCAGGGGCTTTGTGTAACCACCCCAAGGCTCACTCACCCCTCAATCCTGAGGAAATCAGGCATCTTGTTAGTGTGAGACGAAGAACCACTCCATTACAAGATCTCCTCCGACCCAGGAAGCCAAGGAGTCAGGGCTCAAAGGCAGCTCTGCAGCTTCACCCGAGTCCTTCGTGAAACGTAGCCTTCCCACCGGTAATTCTGCCCTCACCCGTGGCCCAGTCCACGGCTGCCTTCCCCCAGCCCAGATCTCTCTCCCGGACTGAGACCAGAGGGAGCGCCGGCACGGAATCCGGACCGCCGGGCTGACCCGAGCATTCCCCGCTCACACTTTGCTGGGATAGCCCCCCGGAGTAGGGTTTCACTCCCCAGAAAGGATGAAGACGTTCGGGATGGGTACGACCTTCCGTTGGGCCCCAAAAGTGTCTAGGGTGCTTGAAGTGGGGGTTGAGGTTTCCAAATGGAAAACAGAGAAAATACCCCCATCTTTGTCACCGGGGTCCCTGTCCCCCAGCGGCCTTGGAGCTCCCGGTGTTTTTCCCTCCAAACGCCCGCCCCACACAAATACACACAAACACACCCATACCGTGCGCCGCAGCCTCGCGTGGCGGGGGTGGGGGGAGGAAGCGATCTGGGAGAAAAAGGAGGAGGCTTCCCTTCCAGGCCGGAAGTCGTGCTCGCGAGAAATCTTTCCTTCCTATCCGAGACCCAAGACTCCCTCTGGGAGGGTTTCCTGGGCACTCTAGGGGCCGACGCCTACGGAAAGGAAGCAGGCGCTTTCTTGGAAGAGAACACCGGTCGGGTCCAGCTGAAGTGCAAGCCCGGCACCACAAGGGGGACATTCCGGAACTGCGTGTAAAGAGACCTTCTCTGGCTGGACCTTCCCGGGCTTAATTACCAGTTGTACCGTCTGGTTACCCTGGTAACAGGCGTCGCTGTTAGTCTAGGAACCGAGAGAAGAGGTGGGTTCCCAAGCTTTCGGAATGATTGTTCGTTGGGTTTGGTTGTCTATTTAATCTAACCCTAATGTAGTATTCAAAGACTCTAAGCCTCCTTTTTTCCTCATCCTGTGGACGCTATGAGACACCTCTCCAGTAGGAAGAGGATAACCAGGAGGGTTATCTCAAGAGATAGAAATATTATTACTCTTCTATAATGTTTACCAAGTGTTCCAGCTTCTGTATTTTAAGGAGCTAATTATTTAATCCTGACATTAATTGTCAGAGATAGGAGTTATCTTCATTTTGAGTAGAACAGAGACATATTTACATTTCTTATTCAAGGTCACATAGCTAGCAGGAGATAGAATTAAGATTAGAATCTATGCATACTAGCTCAGAGTCCTTGATCTTAACTACTAAACTACACTGAGGATTAAGAAGATCTCATGTGGACCTTACCCCACACACAAACTTGTCTATTTCAGTACTGGGGAGGCTCCTGTCAACCAATATTCAGGTATTGGAATCACCTAGATCACCAGAAATCCCAGACAGAAGATGACTGCTATGCTCACTTAGGGTTTGTGAAGGTCTGGGTAGGGGTAAGGCCTTATCTGAGAGGTCAACTTAAGAATTTAGGAAGGGATGTAGAATAAGGAAATGATAAAGTCGTGCTGGGCCACAATCTTTTAGACACAGGTGTTAAGGTTAGCTTACCTTAACTTCACAAAAAAAATTCCTGATGAGTTCCCCCTCCCCTAATAAAAATAAATGTCAATAGTTACACAGACAGTTTTTTCTTTAAGTTATATCTTTCCACAGGCTTAGAGGCCTATTTTGCTATCAATCATGAAGACATCCTCAAAAGGTCTACTCACCCAGCTTACTCAGTTCTGGAACCTTCTAGATGATCTGGCTGAAAATAACCCTGAGGGCTATAAAAACTTTATTGAACAAGAGCTGAAGGAGGGAAAACAGCTATGTGCTGGCCCAGAACCACAGTTCTGTGTACAGACCAGGATCCTGGTATGTATGTAGAGTTAGTGCTAGGGATGGGGAGGTCTTGAATGAATGAATGATCCTGGAATAACCAAAGAATGAATACCTTACCCTTAGCAATTTCATACAAGAAAACTTGATGAAATCTGCCTTTTTAAATAGAAAATGGAACATAGCGTGGAAGATTGTGTTGAAGGAGTAAGAATGGGAAATTCATACTTGATATGTTTTGGAAACCTCAAAATGAGTCACTTTTTCTGCTAGAAGGAAAGGGTGATGTAGTGATTTAATAGAGAATTGTAAAGTTGAATATTTTTCAAATAAAGAACTTATTTAAGATATAAAGTGGTGAAACGGGATCAAATGCACCTAGATAAATTCTCTCTTCTGCTGTCAAGTGTTTTTTGGGAGGGAACAGCAGCTAGATTCATGCTGAAAAAGTCAAGAGCTTTGGGAAAATCAAGTATAATTTATCAAATATGGTTTTAATACATGGAATGACTTAGTGCCTAAAATTCCCCCTCTTCCAGCTTTATGATGAGTTGCTTTGAGGATATTATCAAAACCTAAGTTAAGAAAATTAAATTTTAAAGTTTTGAGACATCAAAATTATTTACTTTCCAGAAACCAAAAGAAAATTAAATTTTAAAGTTTTGAGACATCAAAATTATTTTACTTTCCAGAAACCAAAAGAAAAAATGCTTTTTATCAACCTTTGTCAGTGGAAAAGGATCCCTGCTCCCAAATCACTCACTCATCCAGTACCTCTAATTGTTGGCAGACCAGAAGATATCTCTGAGACATCAGGTACAATGGGTTAAAGAAGAGAAAACACATTTTTAAAATTTTACTGGGAATTAGCATGGATCAGAGTTTACTTGGTAAAGGCATTTCAAGTAAAATATTTTATTTATCATAATTAATGTCAGGGCTGGGGTCGTGGCTCAGCGGTAGAGCGCTCGTCTAACATGTGCGAGGCCCTGGGTTCGATTCTCAGCACCACATATAAATAAATAAACAAAATTAAGGTGTTGTGTACAACTAAAAAAAATAAATAAATATTAAAAAATAACATAATTAATGACAAATGAATTATCATGCAAATTTAACACTGTTCAAATTTCCTAATAATATGAGCCACTTTTAACCCATATGAAGATGCTAAGCAATGCCTTCATTGGAATTTTGTGTATATAATGCTATTGTGATTGCATCTGAAAAATACAGACTTTATTGGGAATATAGTTTAATATATAACCTGACACTATCATGAGAGAAAGAATTTATCTTCACTTTATACCCTCTGAATTACACACAGATACTTACACAGTCATTGATGTTGCCTACAATCCTGATATTCTCCAGACAGCAGAAAAGGACCAAGTGAAAAAAGATCAGTTAGTAAAGATGACTATGAAATGCATTGAAGAACAACTCCAATTCACTCTCTCACACACTTACCATATTACCAAATTCAGAATAAAAGGAAGCATTCAAAGAACAAAACAAAATCTAATAGGAATACAGGCTGAATGCACAGATTTAAAACAGAGAATGAGAAAGGGTAAGTTGATAAATATAAATCAAAATCTAACCTTTTGATTTAAAATTTTCTTGCAACCTGTGTATGTTTTGCAATCTAGAAGTCTTCAATGATGAGAAACTTAAAAGAAAAATATAAAAATTAAATATTAGAAATGTTAAAGAATCCATGAAGACTTCTAAATTGTTCAACCAGATTTTTTGTTTGTTTGTTTGTTTGGATGCACTAGGGAGCAGACATAGGAGCTCCCATACTTGGCAAGGCTTCTATCACTGACCTACATCCCCAGATTCTTTTGGCTTAATATTCCTAAACTAATTTAACTGCAGCTTTATCTTCCATCTCAGTTAACAATACATATCTTGCAGCTCAAACCTGATAGCATTTTGTAATTTTTATTTCTCCTCCTTTTTTTTCATAAAGAACATAGTCTTGGACAGATAAGAAGCAGTACTGTGAGCAATCCAGATCAATTTCCTCAGCTGTTACTGCCCAAAGACCAAGTTTCAGGCAAAGCAGGACGTTTGATAGAAGAGATTTCTAGTACTGAAATACAGGTGGAGATGAAGATACCAGTCTATGAATTAAAAATTGTGAAGGATCAGAATGAGAAACCTCTGAAAATTGAATTAAAAGTTGAGTTACCTGGTATTAATTCAGTGTCTCTCTGTGACCTTAGTGTTTCTGAGGTAAGTTCAGAAGGTAATATGGTAGTCCCTAGATATCCATGGGAGATTGTTTTCATGAACTCCTACAGTTACCTAAATTCAAGAATGCTCAAGTCCCTTATATGAAAATGATATAGTTATATTAAACTTGTATATAACCTATAGGAGTACCCTATACACATCTTCCTATATACTTTGAATCATCCCTAAATAACTTATAAACCTAATAAAATGGGAATCCTATGTAAGTAGTTGTGCATTAGCTTTGTTACTATAACAATTTCCTGAAATAATCAACTTTCAAAGAAAAATGATTCACAGTTTCAAAAGGTCCCATCCATGATCAATTGATCCTATTTTAGACTTGTGTTAAGGCAGCACATCATAGCAGGAGCATGTAGCAGAGCAAAACCACTCATCTTATAGTGATAGGGAGAAAGAAGGTACCCATGGTCCAGTCTGCTTCAGGGGCATGCCTCCAATGACCTGCCACTAGGCCCTATCTTCTAAAGGTTCCACCACCTTACTTCCCACTAGCTGCTTCCCTGGGGAGCAGTCCTTTACACATAAACCTTGGGAGGATACTTAAGATCCAAATTATAGCAAGTAGTTGAACTATCTTGTTTCAGAAATAATGAAAAGAACAAAAGCCTATTACATGTTCAATAAAGATGCAGTCATCATTTCCAGTGCATTCTGCATTTCCAGTCCAAGATAAAATTGAATCCATGGATGCGGAACCTTTAGATTCAGAGGGTCAGCATTCACTGTTATGAACTTCAGAATTTCAGGAGCTTACCATTTGCTCAGGTTTATCAGCTATACCTGTTCTGCTCCATGAGTCTGTCACATTCCGAGATCCAGATGGAGTAATTACCATCTGAGATATTCCATTCTCGTGGTAGAGGAAAAGTAGAAATGGTAACCCATGCAATGGGGCTAAAACTTCCATTCAGACAGTATGGATCACTTCTGATTGCATTGCATTAGCCAAAGTATAAGGCCAAATCTTCCAATCAGAAAGACTGGGTAAAGACAGAAGTCCCTGGCAGGAATGATTCTCTTATAAAGAGCAGATAATTGAGGACTAGGGAAATAGCTCAGTGGTAAAGTTTACCATGCATGAGGCCCTGAGTTCAACCCCCAGCACCTCACAAAAAAAAAGTATGAATAAACTTATGCTGGGTGCAGTGGTACGTACTTGTAATCCCAATAGCTTGGGAGCCTAAGGCAAGAGGATCACAAGTTCAGAGCCAGCCGCAGAAACTTTGTGGAGACCCTGTCTCAAAATTAAAAAAAAAAAATTAAAAGGCTGGATTAAATCCCTGGTACAAAAAAAAAAAAGGCAGATAATTGGAAACATTCCTACAGTCTGTCACTCTACCCTGATCAGATATTTGTTCCTTTGCTCAAGGAAAACACATCTATTCCCAGTATCAGGCTCTAAAGTACAGGATTTTGCCATTATAATCTGTGTTGCTCCTGAATCACAGCCTGAAGACATGCAAGTTATTTATTCCTCCAGCCTCATCCACTGTATAATGTGGAATGGGGAGAGGAAAGCTATAATTTACAATCTAAGTTCAGAAATGGGAAAAATGAGACTCACTGATGTTACCTGGCGCACAGCAATTCTGAAATACTAGTAGGCAAACCCTGTGAAGGCCCCTTATGTGAAGGTGAAGGATAGTCTTAGCTCCCCAGTTTCATGATCTTCAGCTCCAGATGCAGGAGGGTTTCTTTTTCCTTCTCCATTATCCACTTTGGCTGTATCTTAAATATTATAGACTATGCCTTTCTCGTGTGCTGAGCAGTTTTCTCAGCCTGACCTGCTCATGAAGTGTCAGAGGCCCAAATGATATTTAAAATTTTGAAGTCAGTTCCTTTTAGTCCAAGTTGTTTTTGTTTTGCTTACATTCAGTGCACACCCACAATTCCTTTTTAGATATGCCCATGTTTCAAAACTTATCTCTTGAGACTTAATTGCTATCATTTTAGCCAAATGCAAGGATTTACTGAAGTCTACCTTAATCCACTCAAGAGGTTTTAACAGCAGGCATAAGATCTGTGATTTAATCTTATCTCTAAACTGTCAAAATCAGGCTTTGTTAATAAAAATTTCTCAATTTTTATCCTTTATTGGCTGAAAACAAAAATTTGTTCAATTTTTCAGTTTTCAATTATTAGAAATTTTGGGCTCCTATTCTATGTATTCTCTTTCAGTTCTACTTGCAACATGGGTGTTGTGGTTTGGATGTCCCCAAAGCTCACTTGTGAGTCAATGCAATCAAGTTCAGAGGAGAAATGATTGGGTTGTGAGAGTCTTAACCAAATCAGTGAATTAATCAGCTGATAAGGATTAACTGAGTGGTAACTAAAGGCTGATAGGGTGTGGCTGGAGGAGGTGGGCATTAGGGGCTTGGCTTTGGGTATATTTTTTTGTATCTAGAGAGTGGAGTCTCTCTCTCCCTTTCCTGATGTGAGCTGCTTCCCTCTGTCACACTCTCCTGCCATGATGTTCAGCCTCACCTCAAGCCTTGAGGAATGGAGCCAACCTTCTATGGACTAAGACCTCTGAAACCATGAGCCTTCAAATAAACTTTTCCTCCTTACAGTTGTTCTGGTCAGATCCTTTAGTCACAGCAGCAAAAAAGCTAAAACACTGCACAATTATTTTCTACACTAATTTTTCCTGTAATATCTTGTGAAATACAGAGCATAAGAATGGCATATTCTAGCAGGGCACAGTGGTGCATGCCTGTAATCCCAGGAGACTGGGAGGCTGAGGCAGGAGGATTGCAAATTCAAAGCCAGCCTCAGCAAAATCGAGGCACTAAGCAACTCAATGAGACCCTGACTCTAAATAAAATACAAAATAGATCTGGGGATATGGCTGAGTGGTCAAGTGCCTCTGAGTTAAATCCCGGGTAGCTCCCTGACCCCCCAAAAAGAATGGCGTATTTTAAAATATTCTTTTTAAGATGTAGCCAAGGTGGATACTGCATAGCAAAATACCTCCCAACAGATCATGAAAAACAATGAACTAGGGAGCTAAGGAATAAAGAAATATTTTAAGGAACCTAACATGCTAACATTCTACTTCCCATTTCATCTAAATCTACCAATTCATTAGGTGTATTATTTGTCTTCCAAATGATCATGCTACATTCACTAAGAGCTTTATCACTGTGAAACATCTTTCAAGTCCAAGTAAGTTTCCTTGCTGTTTTCTGGTGGACTCTTAAAACAATACCACATAATCTAGTATGGCAATATCCTACTTCTAGTACTCTATCAGTTAACATCTGACATACTGAGCAGCAATAAAAATCTCAAAATGTCAGGAATTTGCACCAGAAATTTTATTCCTCATTATAAGTCACATGGCAATAAAGTGATTCTCCTCTTATAGAAGTGAATAACTGGGAGCAATAATCCACAGCATAAACTTTAACCGAAAATATTTCTATTTTAACCTTTTAATAATCTCTCAATTTGTTATTCTTAGGATGATTTACTAATCGAAGTCTCTGAAAAGTACAGATTACATCTGAATCTTCCAGAATCTGTTAATATTGAAATGACTACTGCAAAATTTATCAAAGAGAAATCTACATTAATGATCATGATGCCACTGGTATAAAACAGCTGCACTATGTTTGGGGGTTTTAATGCTATAAGTCATGTAAATTATAGGTAAAGAGGTAGTGGTTTAAATATTAATTACATATTTTCTAAGGTCACTTTGATGTATTGACATTTTGCCTTCAGCTGTTTTATCTATTTTTCACTCACTTTTTCTTCTCAAATAAAGTTGTCATCAACCCCAAACTATTAAAAACAGTGAATCCATGAGGTACTTATTTTAAAAATAATTGAGTTGACCTTAAATATTTGGGGGAAAAATTCTCATTATTTCCAAATAGCATGTAGAAAATCTTGTCTTACTGCTTGAAAAAATTTCTTTTAAAATCTCTAGTAAACTTTTACATTAGGAAAAACTACCAGATTGTGCAAAGTTTTCTAAAACAAGGATAGGCTTTACTAAAGTTTCCTCTAGCAATAAAGATACAGGGCCAAATATAATACTCAAATCTATGCATCTATGAACTTGTATACTTCAGTTAAACAGCCCTATCAGGTGTCCATGCCATCCAATCAGACCTTTTAATATCAGGTATGGACTTCTCTGTTAATGGATACAGTGATGCAGTAACAGTAATGATGTTATTGCTCATCATAAGCAGAACAGATCCATCTCTAATTTGAGGGAAAAGTACCTTTCTCCCCCAGAAATGAAGTAATGTACATTTGTGTGTGTGTGTGTGTGTGTGTGTGTGTGGTGGTGATGCTGGGGATTGAACCCAGGACCTTGTGCATACAAGGCAAGCACTCTCTCAACTGAGCTACATCCCCAGCCCTGAAGTAATATATTTTCAACTTCCATTAATCTAAGGTGTCAGATACAATCTGATTTAGCAATATGCACATCAAATTTTGAACATTCCTTAACCAACTTTTCTAGATAAAACAGCTTCTTTAATTATTACAAAGTCTTTATAAATTTTAAAACCTTTAACTTTAGAAACTAATGCTGTATAGATAAAAGAAATAATTTGTGTGATGTTAAGCAAATATAATTTTCTTAAACCTGGCCTGGATTTGAATTCTATTAGCAATACAAAAATTTATCTTCTGAAAAATTTTAGCAGTGATATCATGCCCTAAAATTAACAAACCTATTAAATTGTTATTTCTCAAAACATTTGGAATGCCTTCACCATATCTTTTCTTCTACAAAAACAGTCAAAATGTATTTTCTAGGAAATCCTCCTAACCACAAGGAACTGACTGAATCTCTCCTTTTGCACTCAGTACACACTTGCTTGTTGCATCACTATATCTGTGTACTCATTAATAAAATGCATAAACAGCTAATACATTTAATAATACAATGTTAAATTTATATTCTTGATAGTTTTTTAAATATCACTCATATCTTAACGGATTTTACATTAAGAAAAATACTTTTGCCTCCTCCTTCCTACAAAAAAGCACTATATTCCCAGAAAGGGCAATAATAGTGAAATGTGTGCTGGCTTAAATTTGAATCTTATTAAGATATAACACCTTTCTTTTGATTTTATGTGGTGCTGAGGATCAAACCCAGCACCTAACACTCTACCACTGAGCCACAACCTCAACCCCTTTATTAAGACTTCTTTTAGAATGAAATTATGTCATTTGCTGGTAAATGGATGGAACAGGAGTCTACCATGTTAAGCCAATTCCCCCCCAAAAATGGCCAAATGATCTTTGATATACAGATGCTAACATACAGTAAGGGGGTGGAAGGGAAGAATAGAAGTTCACTGGATTAGACTAGGTTAGATTAGGGAAATGAAGGGAAGGGAGGGAGGTTGGGAATAGCAAAGAGAGTAAAATGAATTCAACATAACTTTCCTATGTTTGTATATGAATGAATACATAACAAGTATAATTCCATATCATATACAACTGTAAGAATGGGAAGTCATACTCCATGTTATGTATATCATAATACATTCTACTGTCACATAAAACTAAAAGGAACAAATAAAAGGAGAAAAAGATTTCTTCTCAAAATTTGAAATTTAAAGAGTAAATTTTTCTACAAATTTAGTTTTAGGTCCCTTATCAATAGTGATTATGATTTCCCCATATATTCCAATTCATGCATTAATAGGTAATGACTTTCCTTTGCAACATATTCCTATTATCTCTCACACAGTTACTCCTTTTTTAGAATATGTTTCAGGATACCATAACTTTAACTCACAAACCTCCGAATTGAGACTAAATTATCAAACAGAGCCAGATCTCACTTTCTTTCCATTTTGATAATAAGTACCATGTCTGAACACAGGCTGCTTCAGTAACTTCTTAAGCTTAAAGACTTGGCTATCATGAATTGTAGACTTTCTAACCTGGATTAGAGAGGAAGAAAATATTTATCTCCTTCTGGATTTTGTGATAAAACTATTAAAATTCTCAATATATTATGTGTCTGAGTATACATATACACACACATAAACATATACAAATAGAGAGTTTGTAGTAATGCATTCCTCTCTGGCATTAGGCTTCCAAGACTGAAATACTGAAATAAGCAAAAACTGTGAAAGTATAGAAATTTGGGCTACTAGTGTGGTTAGACACATGGTGACTCATGCCAGTTTTTCTGGTATCCCAGGAAATGACCCTTTTCCCTGGAAAGACTTCAGAATGTTGATGCAGGTTATTTGGTTTGACTCCTTGTGCTAACAACTTACTGTTTAGCCAGTCTCTCCATTACCAGGGACTTCTTCAATAAGAAACACAGGGTCTTATTTAATAGGAAAATGAAGATGCAATTTGTATTCCGCTGACCTCTAGAATAGAATGTCACACATAGAATGGAAACAGGTAGAGTGAAATACTTACTTTGTCCCTCAATTGTAGGGTTGTAATGATAACTCTTTCATGGAAAAAGCATTCTCCCTCATTTCAGTATGATGTCATGCTCAAAGTCATAGGAGAAGTGCGTAGTTACCTTTAGATTGCATGGGCTTGGGGTTCCCTGATCTACCTCTCTTCCAACTCTTAGATAAGAAGCAACAGCAAAAGGCAGAGAAATCTGAAGCAAATCGAGGGAATACAAGTGGTAGAGTGGTTCTGGTTATTTGATTGAAAACTTGTGTCATTAGGAAAATGGGCAACCCAGGGAAGCCCGTGTTATTTATGAAAAGAAGAATATGACTTGAATAGGCTAATTATAATTTTCAAATTTGTTATTTCGATACCTCTGAAATGACATAATTTTTGTTGTTCAGTCTTTGAAGAAACTAGTGTTAAAAAATGTATACCAAAGATAATTAAACAATAAAAATCTAACATGACAATTCATAATTGGGACACTAATAATTTCATTCTTGGAATTATTAGATGGTGAAAATAGTTTTTTTAAATTTATCTTTTTTATGCTTTCTCTCTTTTGTCTCATTTAAAGTTCCAAATTTTATGAAAGACCCTTCAAGAAACCATCTGACATTTTAACATAAAGTTTTCTGTTTAAACTTTCCTTTATAAGGCAAGAGAATGAACAGATTAAATGTTAAGTGACACAAAGATTTATATGTAACATTCTGAGATGTAGAATATTTTGCAAAGCTTCTTTGGAGTGCATGCTTGCTTCTGCATTTTTCAATTACAGAATAGCAAGCAACTTGCTTCTCATTTCCTTATAATGAGAAAGGATTTATGTTTGGCTTTGATGATAGAAACTGCATCAAACAAGGTAACAGGTTATTACTGGATGTCCAGGAGGGTTCTCAGTTTCTGTATCAGCAAAAGAAATAAAAGAGAGAAAAATGCCTCAAAAAAAAAAAAAAAAAAAAAAAGACTTGGCTATCTTCCTAAAGTCAGACCTTTACCAATTTATCTGTATTGAGAGTTTATGAGTATATAGCTGACACTGAAACTTAAAATCATTTTTTAAAAATTCCCAAAAGATGAAAAATTAGACCACACACATTGAAAACAAAGTTTAATTTTAAAACAATCTAATTTAAACCAAAATCCATGACTTTTTCTTTTCTAGCTTTCTTCTTTTAGTTCTTGTAAGAGAGAGATACTGAGTCCAGATTTAGATTATAGCTGAGATTTAATTTTTAACTCAGAACAACTTTTTATTATATGGGAACTTTTTATTTTTCTTTCAAGGGAACAACAGAGCCATAAGCATTAGCAAAGAATAAATTATCTTTGAAATTTCTTGTTTGAACCAAATTTGGCTCATACTAATTTGGTCCCTTGTGATAAACTTGTTGTTTTTGCATAATCTTCAACCTGAAATTACTAAATACTGTGAAAAATCAGAATTATTTTCATAATAATATAGCAAGGTGAATGTTTGAGGAATATATAGAGTATCACTTATGCACCATATAATAAATGAACATTCAGAAACAGATTCAACACTGAAACATTAAAGCAAATTTCAGGGGATAGTTGCACATATTACATATACAAGGAAGCACTAGTCAGGTTTATTTTAAGTAGTTATAATAAATAATTCCAAACATTTATTAAAATGTTGTCAATTCAATAGAAAATCTGGAACTGTGATAAAGTTCCCAATTCATTTTTATTGTCCTGGATAGCATGTCCTCCTCCTCCCCAAGAGAAAGGCAAAATAATAAAGTTGAAAAAAGTATTTAGACTGATAAAGTAGCCATAATTAATTTTTTCTCTCAAATAGGATTTTCAGGGCTATCTTATTTTACATGAGACAATGCTAGGGTAGGAAAAAAACTTCGTATGCCTATATTAACTATTTTCACTATATCCAAACAAATTACCATTTTGTTTTGGACATCATTTATATTTGTTTTTTCAGACAGGGACTGAAAAATTGTCCAGGTTAGCCCCAAACTCCTAAGCTCAAAAGATCCTCTAGCGGAGCCAGGGAAGAGTCCCTGGGTTATTAACGTTGGAACTTAGAGCCTGCCAGTTTGAGTGGGTGTGTGTGGGAGGGCATGCCTGCGTGGGAGGGCATGCCTGCGTGGGTGTGCACAGGTGCTAAGCAGCTGTAGTTGCCCCATATTCTGGCTTAAAAAAGCAGTTTGACTTTGTAGACTTACTTATGTCATTGTAATGATTTCACTCTTAACTGTGACATTTTTATCAAATGTGTGAATAAATACATAAAGACTGGTACAAGGACTGGGGATGTGGCTCAAGCAGTAACGCAATCGCCTGGCATACATAAAGACTGAAAAATACATATTAAAAAAATTCTCTCTCTCTCTCTTCAAGAAAAAAAAAAAAAGATCCTCTAGCCTCCTGAGTAGCTGGGACAACAAGGGTAGCAACGGTGCCTGGCTTGGGCTTCCTTTTTTAGCATTCTAAACAATTCACCAGTGTATCCCTTCTCTTTTCAGACAGGACTTGCTGATAAATGGAGTTTGGCACATATCCAACTTTAGTAACCATATTTTACATATGTACACTTATCCCGCATATATTCCATAATTATTTCATAGTTTTCCAGTTATTTGAATAATAAATCCTGATAACTAAGTTCATTTGTAATCAACTCTCAGTTAATCTTAGAAAATTCTACCTCCACAACTTCTTTTTTTTTTCTTTTTTTGTTGGTGTTGGGGATTGAACCCATGGCTTTGTGCATACAAGGCAAGCACTCTACCAAATGAGCTATATCCCCAGGCCCTCCACAACTTCTTAATTGTATTAAATTTTATAAGCATGTTCTTTTATTTGGAAGTAACTATAGAATTCTACTTTAAGAATTACACATTTAAGTTGTTTAAATAAATACCCACATAAATTCTTATTTATACCAAGAAATAGTTTATATATCGTAAGAGGGGGAAAATCATTTCATTTAGAGATTCATAGAAAAATAAAGACCAACCAGTGAAGAAGTGTAAAAAAATGTGGACTCTTAAAGTTTCAGCTATTTTCCCTGAAATTCTATACCCTTCCCATGAATGATAAACCAAAACCAAGTTCATATAATAGAAAATTTTGAACCAGTGTTAAATTCTAAAATAAAGCTTGATTCAGTTCAGATCTTTCTCTTGAGAAGTAATTTTCCTGACTTCTCTTTCCCTCACACCTAAGCAATTTCAGGCAAATTTAAAACTGTAAGGTTTTACCCAGGTTTCTTGTCTCTAGGGAACTAGGTTTCTACCTATTCTATATCTCCTATGGAAATACTTATCCTCAGGCTAGGCCACATGTCCCATGACTAAAAGTACACAGATTAAAATCTGATGTTTAGTTACCAATTGCGTACAATATTTGGGTATAACTGGCATTTAAAAAAAATTTTCAGTAATGCCCATTACAAATAATTTATCTAGATAGACTCAAAAATTAACTGGTTAACTTTAAAACAACCACCTGTTTAATAACATAAATATCTCAATAAGAATGAACCAATGTGACCAGGGAGAATACAGAAATTCTTGGGTTAATTATAATAACATGGTGATAGGTTTCTCAAGGTACTTTCTAAACTCAGCAAGCCACTGGGCTCCAACTGCTCCATCCACAACTCGATGATCACAACTGAGTGTAACAGACATCATGCTAGCCACATCAAATCTAGAAAGAGTAAAAATATTATTAGTTACTCTGAAAGCAATAAACAGATTTTAGCCAGCAATCACCCACATGCTGATTCCTACCCTATAATCCAACCCAAGTAATATTATTTTCCACCTACTCTTCATGTCCTGTATATCTTTTTAAATATTTTTTAGTTGTTGATAGACCTTTATTTTATTTACTTATATGCGGTTCTGAGAATCAAACCTAGTGCCTCACACGTGCTACTGCTGAACCACAGTCCCAGCCCCTCTATATCTTTTTTTAAAATTTTTTATTCTGATTTTTTATACATTACAGTAGATTGCATTTTGATTCATAGAACATAAAAGGTCATGTTCTCTATATCTTTAATTTTAATCCTTTCATATATTATTTATGTCTGCTTTCATACTACAATGGTAGGGTTTTGCAATAGAGTCCACATGCTCAGAAATATTTATTATCTGACCCTTGTAAGTGTGCTAAACTCTCACCTAGAATAAATCTCAAATAAGATCCCGTCAATAGGATCTCTTTTTATTTTTCTTAGTTTTTAATTTAATTTCACTTTTTGGGGTACTGGGGATTGAACTCAGGGGCACCTGACCACTGAGCCACATCCCCATCCCTAATTTGTATTTTATTTAGAGACAGGATCTCACTGAGTTGCTTAGCGCCCGGCTTTTGCTGACACTGGATTTGAACTCCTGATCCTCCTGCCTCAGCCTCCTAAACCAAGCCACTGGGATTATAGACATGCACTACTGAGCCCAGCAGGATCCCATTTTAAATAGGATTACTGCATTTAGTAAAATAAAAGTTTCTGCTATAAGGAATTTCATCCTATATTTGCATCTGACTCTACTAAAGGTCCAGTACACCATGCCATAAGTACCTATAAAACCAAACTCAGAAACAGATGCATAATGTAATGAAAGTCAGCTTATAATTCCTTCTCCAATTTGGCACTTACCCTTTTTCATTGTCTGCTGGAACCAGCTTATCCTCTGAAGCACCAATTGCCAAAATACACGCCTGAGGTGGGTTAATAATAGCAGAGAAATTCTTAATTCCAAACATACCTAAATTGGAGATTGTAAAAGTGCCACCCTAAAGGAAAAAAGATTAAAAACAGATCATATTAATTGCTTGCCAGTGTAAATGAGAAAAAATTACAAATATTCTGTGAAAGGTCTTATGACAATTTTGTATTGGCTTCTGCACACTAGTTGGAAAATGTCTTATTTTCAGCATTTGACATGTGACTCAATTTTCCTTTACTTTTAGGACCTAGTATCAGTTAAAACTATGTGGCAGAATCAAACAGTGGAAAATAAAATAAGCATTAAAGGTCAGTAAGTACTATCTCACCTGGAACTCTTGCGGCTGTAGTTTACCCTCTCTTGCTTTAGCTGCTAAAGAAACAACATCATTAGCAATGGTTTCCAGTCCTTTTATATGTGCATTAAACACAATTGGTGTGATGAGTCCTGCAGGAGTGCTGACAGCAACACTGACATCGACAACATGATTTCTGTTTAAAAAGAAAAAAGAAATGAAAAATAATCAAGGGCTGGGGATGTGGCTCAAGCGGTAGCGCGATCACCTGGCATGCGTGCGGCCCGGGTTCGATCCTCAGCACCACATACCAACAAAGATGTTGTGTCCGCCGAGAACTAAAAAATAAATATTGAAAATTCTAAAAAAAAAAAAAAAAGAAAAAGAAAAATAATCAATACTGATATTTTTTTAAGAGCCTATGGACTGGGTATGTAGCTCAGTGACAGAGCACTTGTCTAGTATGCAAGGCCTTGTGTATAATCCTCAATACCACAAAAAAAAATTTTAAATTTTTAAACAGCACTAAGTTAAGGAGGAACATGAATATTTAGAAATTTTTAGAGCCAATTTGTGCTTCAGTTCAAGGTGTCTGTTCTAGTCTATACATTTTGCTGTGCCCTCTCCTTGACTTACACTTTTTAAAAATGATTATGAGAAAAAAAGAAAAATTTGTCAGTAGATTGGAGTCACACCACTCTAACTTCCTCCACCATTCTTGACCAAAAACATGGGTATAGCTAGCAAAAAACAAAAAACACAACATTCAGTAAGAATTAACTATCTGAACTCCAAGACTAAATGGAGGTGCACAGGCTGGAGCTGAGTCTCTGTAGGCAGCAGTTGAGCAGATGAAAAAAAGAGTGAAAGAACAGAACTGCATTAGAAGGGAAAAAGGAGTACTCAGGACATAGAGGTGGGGTTATCTCAGAACTTAAAATTAGGTTTCCAAATTTTTCCAGAGTAAATCACCAGAAGCACCTATGCATCTAGGTTTCATCTCAGATTTATTTTTTGCAGTGCTGGGACTCAAACCCAGGAGGAGTTACATCCTCAGCTGTCATTTTAGAATATTTTTTAATACCAAAAATAAAATACTCAAATTACAAAAATAATTAAGAAACAAAACTAATTCCTATCATTTTGAAGTGGAGATAAGCAAAATAATATTTTAAAACAGATGCAGTGGGCTGAGGCTGTTACTCTGTGGTAGAGCACTTGCCTAGTGTATGTGAGGCACTGGGTTCAGTCTCAGCACCACATGAAAATAAACAAATAAAATAAAGGTATTCTATCCATCTACAACTCAAAAAATTTTTTAAAAGATAGATGCAATAACTACAATGTGATATTAAAATAATTTTATTTGTTACTAACCACAAATACTATGACATTTCTTTATATGTTCTCTACATTTATGAAAGGAAGAGATACTAAATGTCCATAGAGGTTTAAAAAAAAAGGTGACTTTTTCCCCCATCCAAGTTCTGAATAGTACCTACAGTCTCTATGGGGTCTTTAAGGTATCCTGCCCAAGTGTTCTTCAATTGAGAAAATATCAAATTTCCACATGAAGGCATGGCTCTGCTCTAAAGAAAGAACTCCAGTCATTTCAGCCTTCCCTAGGGATAAGTTCTAGAAGATTGTAGGTACCAAGTCCCCTAATTTGCCCAAGCTGGCTAGAGCCAGGCTTTTGTTACATGCAAACACAGAGACCTCTACCAGTAATACTGTGGTCCTTATCAGTTACCATAACTGGGCTTTATTAATCGAATATTTCAAAATAGCTAGTAGAGCCAGGTATAGTGGTACATGTCTGTAATCCCATCTACCCAGTAGTCTGAGATCAGACAGGGTAAATTAACAAAACCCTGTCTCAGCTGATATAGCTCAATTGATAGAGTGCGTTATCTCGCATGTACAAGGCCCTGGGTTCCATCCCCAGCACAAAAAAAAAAAAAAAAAGCACCCCAAATTTCAATCCCCAGTACTGACACACTCCTTTCCCCAGAAAAAAAGAAAAAAAGCTAGTAGAGAGAATTCTGAATTGTTCACAACCCCCCCCCAAAAAAGATAAATGTCTAAGGTGACAGACATGCCATTTAACCTGATCTGATCATTATACATTGTATACATACACTAATATGTCACACTCAACCCTATAGATACATATAACTATGTGCCAATTAAAAATATTTGAAGTTATTGTCATTACAATGCTACTTGCTTAATAACCTTCTCCCTGAAATAGGGATGGTATTTCCTAACTTGTTTATCACTGAATCCAGCAAAGAGTACATATTCAATAAGTATTTGTTGAAAGGCTGTATAACAAATAAAGAGTGTTTGTTGAGAATTACTAAACAATTCAACTAAAAAAGAACAAATAATTAAAAATTTAAAAAAGTAAACAATTCATAGAATTTGCCCTGCAACCTTGATCCTTTCTTTATATGTTATTTTCTTTATGTAGTCTTAAAAGTAGATGGCACTCACTTAATATCAATTTGAATGGCTATTTAAAACACATATACAATAACAAATGTTAGCAAGGATGTGGAGAAACTGAAACTCTCATCCACTGTGAGTGGGAAGGTAAAATGGTGCAACCACTTTGAGAAGTAGTGTAGAAATTTCTTTAAAAATTAAATGTTTACCCAATGAATGACTCAGTGATTCTATTCCTAAGAATGTACTCCAAAGAAATGAAAACATTTCTACACAAAATATTGTATGCAAATGTTCATTACTCATAATAGCAAAAAAGGGAAACCAAACGTCCATCAACTGATGAATGCAAAAACAAAAACATGGTACACCCATACAGAAACAAATGAATACTATTTAGCAATAGAAAACAATAAACTTCTGATGCATGTCCATGGGGAATCTTGGAAACATTGTTAAGTGAAAGAAACCAGTTGCAAAAGAAGGCACATTTTATGATTCCACTTCTATAAGTATAGAAAAGATAAACATATAGAGTCAGCAGTACATATTGCTGAGAAGACTGAGGATAGGAGCAGTAATTCAAATTCAAATGGACAAGAGTGATCTTTGTGGAAGTAATGGAAATTTCTAAAATGAGAACATGGCAGACTGCACAATTCTGTAAATTTACAGAAATCAAGGAATGTTGAGCTGTGGGATTTTATGGTATGTAAACTACTGTAAATTAAAACTGTTTTAAAAATTGCCTATATGATGGGCAGAAAGGCAGAATATAAGAAACTATACTTGCCTTCAGAATACTTAAAATTAAAAAACCAAAACCAGTGCTTAACAGATGTTTGTTGCATGAATGCAAGTACCAAATGAGAAATACATACACTATTCAGAAGGATATTCAGAGAGCATAATTTTCCGTAGGTACTCACAAAAGGGGAACTTGAACTAGGATTTAAAAAGACAGGTATGCTTTAAACAGGATAGAAAAGTATAATGTTGCGGTTCAAGACTAGGTTTTAGTCTTGGTTCAGAGAATTGGGGGTGCTATAGTTTGAATCTGAAATGTCTCACAAAGACCCATGTGTTAAAGGCTTGGTCCCAGCCATTGGTGCTGTTGGGAGGAGGTGGAACCTTTAAGAGGTAGAACCCAGTAGAAGGAAGTGAGGTCACTGGAGTGTGCCCCTGAAGGAGATATTAGGATGAGCACCTCTAGGTCTTTTTCTTTGCTTCCCAGCAGTTATGAGATGAATAAGCTGCTTCTACCATATCAGGCCCGAAGGACCATGGACTGAAACCTATAAAACCATGAGCCAAAATAAACCTTTCCTAGAAGTTGTTTATCTCAAATATTTTGTCACAGTGACAGAAAGCTAAGTAATATAGCTGGGATTCAAATCTTGGCTGGTTTACCTTTCTCTAGACATGTAGCAGATTACTTCTCTGTGCCTCAATTTCCTTATATGCAATGGAGGCAAAAATGGTACCTACTTTACAATATACTCATGAAAATTAAATAATGAATATAAATTCCCTAAGCACTCATTAAGTGTTGGCAATCAATCAAAAATCAAAGAAAGGAAAAGCCCAAATAACATTCTGAGAAGAGGAAAGTTAATGGCATATACAGCAACAGTGGCTAACTCAAAATGGCACAAGAAGGTTTTACAGAGGATCAGAAAGCAAGCCTTGACTGAATTATGGATGGCTATGAATGCCAAAAATTACAAACTACTTCTGCTCAGGCCCCAGAAAGCTATCCATGCCTTGATGGTATGGACAGTACTAAAAACAGGAAGACAGACTTAAAGTCTGTTGACTGGTAGTCCTCCAATATATGTCTATATCCTAATTTCCAGATTCATCAATGCAGACTTAGTTGGAAAAACACCTTTGAAGGTATATTTAACTTCCTGAGACAAGATCCTCCTCAATTATCTGGATGTCTCTAAATACAAGCGAGAGTCTGTTTAAGAAAAGAGAATACAAAGAAAAAGACCATGTAAAAATGAATGAAAAGAGAATACAAAGAAAAAGACCATGTAAAGATGAAAGTAGAAATTGAACTTATGCAACCACAAACCAAGAAATGCCTATAACTTTTGGAACTGGAAAAGGCAAGAAAAGATACTCCCATAGAATCTTTGGAGGGAGCAAAATCCTGTAAATACCCTGAATTTGGACTCCTGGCCTCCAGAACTATGAGAGAGTAGATTTATATTTGTTTGTGTTTTTTTATTTGTTTTTGCTGGTGCTGGAGATCAAATCCAGGCAAGGATTCTACCATTGTGCTAAACTCCAAGTCCTAAATTTCAATTCCAAGACATCAATTTTGTGGTAATTTATAACAACACTATGAGACTAATATGCTTATAAGGAATATTAAACTCGTAGATGTTCTCCAAGAGGGGAGTGACCAAGGAAAAACCATCCAGTATGGGGAGATTGAGAAAAAATTCATGATGAGAACACAGAATATTATTTCCCCCTCCTTAAGTCATCATTAAAACCAGTGAGTATAATATTTATGGTAAACTACATATTTTAATTAGACCCAAATATTTTACACAAGAGAAGACCATAAAATTAAAATATTTAACATAAACATTACATTAATGTTATATTTACATATAGCATTTTATATATTAAATGTTAATATTTTAGAAATTTCTATCATGTGGAGGTGATTGGAGAGTGATATTCCCAGTGAGAGCATGGAAGTTTTAGATTACTCCATACCTTGCCCTACAT